TCCCCCCAGTTGTTCAAACTGGGATTAATTAACAGCACAAATTACACATAATGAATGGAAACCGAGCATCGAGTCGTCAGGAATGTCTTTATGGGGCAGATTAAATGTGACAAGCCGAGGCTGTTTGATGGATGTCAGGTCAGGAGAGGGAGAACACAGGTCGAGGGAGGCATCGGCATCCAGATTAGTAGAGAAAAAAAAAACAAAACATATACACACATATAATTTACTCCTATATTGCCCTGTACTACGCATATAATAATTAACAATAATCATATTAAATGGGAGATTATAGGAGTAAATGATATTAGAGTTAACTGATTTTAATAATAATAATAATAATAATAATAATAATAATAATAATAATAATAATAATGCTTCCCATCATCCGGTGAAAACTCTAAACACTAATTCCGGTCTCCGTCCTGCGGTGCAGATCATGGAACGTCCTCCGCTGTAAGAGCCAGGGCTCCGTCCCCTGTTCAGACACTTATTTCTACTTTAAATAATCTATTGTGGTGCAAATCTTATTGCCGGGCTACAACTGTCAAAAAACCTCCGTCGCCTTTCACTGGAAAAACAGTTGGTTGATGAGTTCGTCAAGTAGTTTTCTTTGGAAACAATACCTCCACTCGGTTATTGATTTCTTTTTTTCCTAAGCTTTAAATCCGCTTCAGGAGCTGATTTGTTGTCTTCAAAACACTCGAGAAAGAGTTTATTTTCCCACAAAAACCTTCGCCAAAGCCAGTCAGGGAACCCAGCGCCGATTTGTATTATTATAGATTTCCTATACGGTGCTGTCAAAGTTTGAAACTCCTAATTTGGAAAAGCAATTAGCCCAATTCGGATTAGCAGCAACTATAATGTCACAGACCCTGAAAAGAAAGAAAGAAAGAAAGCTCTAATCTGGAGGCTGTTTTCCCCCAGAGCCTGGGGCAGTGTGGTATTTGTACCTCTGTAAAAACCTTTAAATCCCAATAAAAAAAAAAGAAAAAGAAAAAAAAAAGAAGAGAGAAAAGAGAAAGGCTTCGGGGAGGAGGCAGAGGTATTGTTTTTCAGACAGGAACAGAGGGAGTTATGTGGGAGACTAATTTGTCTCCAGATTAAGATTACATTTCCAGGCTCTCCACAGACTCAGGAAAATCCTTGAAGGGACACGAATTCATTACAAATTAGCCTTCATTAAAAAAACAACAACAATATTTTAATATACTACACTGATTTGGCTTTTTTAATTTCATGGTTACAGGTGATCTAAATTTAAATATAGTCCAATATAAAAGGACAAATGTATGTCTGTGAACAAGGCAGGACATTTCAAAAGGTATTCCCTTGATTACTTCAATTAAAGTCAGTACTAATACTGTACTGCTTAAGGAATAACTTTTTAAAAATATCAACAAAATTTTTTTCCGGGACCTCAAAAAACCTCTTCTGTGACCCGTTCCTGTGCCTCTGACCCACACTTTGGACAAAGGTTGTCTTTGTAGATCACCTCTTATATTTTAACATGATCTAATTATTGGTTTAAGAAAACGTCCAGAGTGAGAAATAATTATTTTTATATTATTATTATTATTATTATTATGAGACATTTAGAGTTCTTCTGGCTAATGTTGCTATTTATACAACCATCAACAGTTTATTAAAGCATTAATTAAAAATATATTTTAAAATATTTGAGAGACTTTTGGTTTTGGTGTCTGCCAAATGTTTGGTTATGGCTTAGCTAGTTGGGTTAATTGTTAGTCAACACGTAAACAAGAAAAAAAGTCAATATTAGCTTAGCCTAGCTAAATAGCTCCTAGCCAATTTGAAGGAATCTGCTGTATTTTGGTGTAGCCAACACGTAAACAAGAAAAAAAGTAAATATTAGCTTAGCCTAGCTAAATCTGCTGTATTTTGGTCTAATTTTTTTGGGGCTACTTTTGCTACGTGCTTGGAGTAATCTTAGCAAAAGGACATTTTAGTAAGAAGAAACAACAGAAAACAAAATTGAAATTGCATATATAAAACAGAAATTAGCTAGCAGCACTAGCAGCTGCAAACAGACCCAGGAGGGGGCACTAATGCTAGTGTATGCCAGCTGCCAATGAAGGCAAGTGAAGAAGAAGCCAAGCCTGGGAGAAGATTAATGAGTGTAATTTATAAATCTGTAAATAGAACCTGTTTAATATGTGTCACGTGCAATTTGAAGACGACTCGAGGTGGAACTGTAGTTGTGAAGTCACAGCGTTTGTGGCTTGCGTGTGAAAGGCGGCCCTAATTAGAGTTGTGTCACAACATTGTTGAAGGTCTACAGTGTGAAAACAATTAACAACACGTTTTTTATCACCACATTCATTCTCAACCCACGGCTGTTTTTTTTTCCTCATTGATTTCTATAGTTAATCGTCCCCTGTGTCTTGTCATCAATTTATGTCCATGTGCAACCAAGTGTTGACTCCTGAACTTCCATGACCCCATTCACATGCCGCAGAAACACCGTGAAATCGGCTGTTGCTCTTCCTGTCTCACTGTATGGACGAGCTGAATATGAGCTGTGTCTCTGCAGAGATAAAAAAAAAACACACACATGAGATCCATGTTGTCTCATTAAAAAGTTTCTATCCCATAATTCCTGGTGGCGGGGCAGCATTACCACAGCTTTAGACACTTTGAAAGAGGATGAGGATCAGATTTGGACAAAACAATGAGATATCTGTGCAGCACGGTGGATCGGTGGTTAGTACTTGCCTTACAGTAAGAAGGTTGGGGGTTCGATTCCTGGTTGAGGGTCTTTCTGTGTGGAGGCTGCACCTTCTCCCAGTGTGTGTGGGTTTCTTTCCTAAATGTGCAGGATTTGGTTCACTCTAAATTGACCATAGGTGTGAATGAGAGTGTGAATTGTTGTTCGTGTCAACAAAGTTGTCCGGGTTGTCCTCTGCTCTCGTCCAATGAGTGCTGAGGTCTAGTTGCCCTCGTGACCCTGACTATTAGTAGAAGATGAGTGACGCTCAACTGAGATACCAGGACATGAAAAGTATGGTTATAGCTCCCCCTGCAGGGATGGGAACAATGCAATCCTATATACATCATCGTTATAGCTCCCCCTGCAGGGATGGGAAGAATGCAATCATTAGAGCGTAGTTTACATTTATTCTGAAGTCAAGTCCTGAAAAAAAAATCTTAAATTTTCCTTAAAATACCCCCCTGACAGCCATGTGTGGGTCCCGACCCAGACTTTGCGAATGAGTGGCAGCTCAGTGGGCAGCGGTCAGCTGATATAAGTCGGGGGACCCTTCATGTTTTTTGGACGCATATATGCTGAGTGTAGCCACCAGTCCGAGGGAGTGTAGAAACCAAAGCAGCGAGGAGAAACAGATGAATGTGCTCGTTTAGTTTACGGCTTGTTTGATGAAGGCAGTATTGGCCCCGAGTGTTGTTCCTCACCGCGGGACCCGGGGTGACAGTTTGAGCCTCGCTCCTCTCAGCTCATTATCTCGCCCAGCCCACTGAGGGCCCCATTCAGGCCGAGCTGTCCCTTCAGTCCCACAGCCTCTCTCTGGCACAGTCGTTTGTCTGCTCATTGAGGCCACAGTCAGGAATGTGATGGTTGTTAGGGAGCCCTCTTTCACCGCTCCTAAGTGTTTTATTGATGAGTTTTGACTTCTCCTACTTTTTTCTCATGTCAAAGAAAGTCAAGTGTATAGGCCTCCATCCATGACTTCATCTCATGGCTAAGTCCTGATCAAAAAAAAAAAAAAAAAAAAAAAAAACCCTACCAAACTCTTACCTCCTCTCTCCTACCTCCCCCGCCCTCCTTCCCCTCCCCTCCTTCTCTAACACCCGGGCTCCTCACTGCTGTGGGCTGGTGCTGCCCAGAGCCCCGGGAGTGGAGGCTGAAACCCCGGGCGCAGAGGGGTTTCTTTTGGGTGCGCTGAGGTGTGCCTTAATGGGCCACTCATTTGAGCACGCAGCGCAGTTTGGGGGAGCGTGTGGTCATGGCTGCGCGATCATTTGCTTTTACTTTTATTTACGCGTGCTTATTTTGCTGTCAGGCTCGGAGGGAGTGACGTCGCGGCCTCGCAAATGTGTCCATAAAACGCAGCCGAGCTTGTCCTGTCCCGGGCTGCGCGCTTTTTACGCACGGCCTTCGTGTTGACCACCCGAGGAGGAGGGTGTGTGTGTGTGTGTGTGTAGGAAGGTGATACGTAAAAGAATCAACAAAAGCACGTGGTGGAGACAGACTAAATGATTTTTAGAATTGGAGTGGATTCACAACAATCCAGAATATTCAGTGAATTTTCTAGTATTTTCTTCACTACGTCACAAATCTCTTCTGTGTAGTATTTGTCTTAAAAACCGAGTACAGCACAAACACCTAAAACAATTTACTGAATGAAAACAAACCAAAACAACATTTTGTTTATTCGCGGCTGCCATCACACTTCCTTCTATCAGAATAACACTCGCAGGAGTTTCCAAAGTAAGGCTCGGGGGGCCAATCATGGCACTTTGAATGTTTTGATCTGGTCCAAGACTTTTTTATTTTTTTAATTTCTGCCATCAGCAGTATATATATATATATTTTTTTTTCTAGTAATGTCTCTGTTTGGTATTTTTGCTAAACTTTGGTGGTTACAGAAAAAAGTTTTTTTTATTTTTTATGTTGGTGTAGCCGTTACCTGTGCAACCTTTAACTGTACGCATATCCCTGTGCTTTTTTTTTTCAAACTTTCTTGGTGTTTCCGATAGGGTTTTTTTGGTTGTTTGTTTGGTTATTATTCACCGGAAGTTTTGGTATCTATGGGTAGATTTGAAGTTTCCCGAACCGTAACTTTTCAGAAGCCTAAAATGATCGGACTCGCGGTGAATGTAACGTTAGGGTGAAAACGTGTGTGTGTCGCAGCTGCAGCTCCACTGTGAGCCGCAGCCCGGCCGCAGCCCCAGATT